GTTGGGTGGTGCATAGTGTTTCCCAGATTTTATATATCACTTGTTGTTGTTGTTAAGTGCCATCAAGGAGGTTCTGACCCATAGCGACCCTGAGCAGGGTTTCCAAGGCTGTAAATCTTTACAGGAGCAGAAAGCCTCATCTTTCTCCTGCGGAGCAGCTGGTAGTTTCGAACTGCTGACCTTGCGGTCACAGTCCAATTTGTAACCACTATGCTACCAGAGCTCACTTGGGCTGTTGTTTATTTAATATTTTCTGTTTAGAAGGATGCCTTCAATTTCTTAAGTGAATTCTTTGGAAATAAAATTTATATTACTATTTTAAATGAAAAGCCAAGAAATTGTTTGGTTATAGAAGACAAATAACAGAAAACCTTTATCAGGACTGACTGTGAGTGTTGAAAATGTAAAGGTAGACGTTTTGTAATAAAAGGAGAGGAGTGATTGACTTTGCAGTCCAAGAGTGGAGGTCCCTGGGACCATCAAGGGAGAACGGATTGCGGGACCCTACCCAGAGAAGCAGTGAAGCCAGAGATGGAGGCAGAGACGATGATGTGGAGAGATGGAGCAGCTGGGGACTTTAGACACAGAGAGGGAGAGGGGCTGTGTGCTCACGGCCGGGGACAGGCTTGTAGGGTATACCCTTTGGTTATTTGATGATGCATCCAAGGGGATTGTAATCATTGGAATGAAACAAAGTACGATAGGATGATTGTAAAGCTATGTTCTCCCATGTACACTATCACATAGTTCACAATAAAAACTTAAAAATAAACAACCCAGAAATCCTTTATCTTATTAGCAACTAAGATTGGTGGTGGTAGTTATGTACTATTGGGTCAGTTCCAACACACAGTGATTCTTTATAGGGTTTCTGAGGCTATAAATCTTTATGGGAGCAGAAGCCTCATCTTTCTCTCTCAGAGCAACTGGTAGACTTGAAATGCTGACCTTGCATTTAGCAGCCCAGTTCGTAAACTACTACACTACTATGGTTCCTAGGAACTGATATTGGTGGTGGCAGTGGTGTGCCAATGAGTCAGTTCCTACTCACAGCAACCCTGTATTGGGTTTCTGAGGCTGTAAATTTTACCTAGCAGAGAACCTCCTCTTTCTCCTTCAGGACAACTGGTAGATTGGAACTACTGACTGTGTGTTTAGCAGCCCAGTTTGTAATCCACTACACTACCAGGGCTGAGATTCACAAGATTTAAAGTTTTAAAGAAAACCAGTGGCAAACTGGAGCTTTCTTTTTGAGGTCATCATTTTGAAATAATTAAAAGGTAATAATTTTCTCAGTATATTTTATAGTATTTAATGTTGTGTTCCAGTACTTTCTAATTTTTCTCAGTTGTCACCTAAAATTATTTCAGCATCAAATTTTGGGATATTATAATATAATGAAAAAAGCACTAGAGTTAGAGTCAGATACATGAGTTGCAGTCCTTACTCTGAGGTTTATCTGTTAAATGATCCAGGCAAGTCATTTAGTTTCAGTTTTCTTCTTTTAGTTAAAACAACCATACCATGTTACAGAGCATGTGGAAAACATACCATTTTGTTTAGGGTCATACCAATAACTCCATGAGGTAGAACAACAACAACATCAAAAAAACATGCTCAGGGAAGCCAGGCTCCTGATGTCATAGACACAGCTCATTTCCTCACATTATACCATAAAATGACAGTGTTAAAGTATGATTTCTCATGCTCCTCCCAGCTGTAAAGACTATTATTTGATTCCAGGGACATTACCTGTTAATACATAATCCTCCCAATGAAGAATCATACTCCTTAATATTAATTTGTTCAGTAGTTAAAAAAAAAAACACAAAACCATGGTACCAAAACAGGTTGACAGAATCTGTAATTCTGCAATTCTGCAGTTAGCCCAGTAGGTGGTACCAACCCCATCCAGGCTTCAAGCCCACAAAATTGTGGTACTAGAGGAAAGGTGGAATGCTGTGTAAGTGATTGCTCTTATTACTCTTAGGATAAAATGTGCTACATGTATATATCAAAGGGAGACAAAATGTGCTACATGTATATATCAGAGGGAGAAAAAATTGTCAAACTGTTGATGTTTTCTGTCATGTTCTGTGGAAGCTTTGATTAGATTGTATTAAATTTAGTGTTCTACACAATCCTTGAAGTCCTGGTGTGGCACTATAAGATAAGCACTGGACTGCTAAAGAGATTGGCAATTCAAACCCACATACTGCTTCTCAGAAACCCTATACAGGGTTGCTATGAGTTGGAACTGACTGATGGCATTTAACAAGAACACAACCCTTACCTATTACAATACTAACCTATTACTACTCCACTACCTGAACTAGTTTCCATCATTCAAAAGAGCCTCTGTCACTTCCGTCACAGTCCCTGTCTATTAGTCTTTCTTTCTACTGCAGGTAAATCATGACTGAGACACTGAATTAAAAACTGGTTTGGGCAATTGCACAAGTTGGTTAAGGTTTTTTTTTTCTCTCCCCGCCCCCAGTCTAAACTCTTGTACAAAAGAATTGAATTTCACAAGGTTGTTGTTAAAGAAAGGGCAGAATGCAATTCTGGACACACCTTCCTGCCAATCCAAGTACAGGACTTTGTGTTCTACGCATTTCCAAGTAGAGGGAGGATTTTTTCCACTGCTCTTGGCCAAGAATCCCTCCTCCCATTATTCTGTTTTCTGGTTGGCTGCACTGCAGTGGTGTTAAGATATTTGGGGCCTGGTTGGCAAAACACAATGTTGTGTTAATGTTACTGACTTTGTTGTACTTCAAACAATCCCAAATTGCCAATTCCCTGGTGATCCACGTTGTAGCTTCACAATGTCGGTGTTAACTCTTTAGCACACTGCACCATCCAGTCTTAGGGAAGAAAAACATGTGACTTTACACCTAGGTGACATCTTCCCTTTTGGTCTTTACAGAGACAGGTCATATTTTCAGGGGTTGATTTTGCCACCAGTATAAAAGTACAGTTTTACCTAGGTGTGTAACAGCCCTTCTTCTGTGAAGTCAAGAGGGCAGTTTGTGGCCTTTTGTGTTCACCTATTAGAGAGTACAGGCATGAAACAATTAGCAGGTGCTTAAAGAGATTTCTCTGTGGTAATAATATACCTGATGATAAGACATTTGATTCTGACAGCTTTGCTTTTCTACCCTCCAACCCCCAACTCTTAACATTTCCTTGAGTTATTTAGAGAAGTACCTGAAGGTTGCTTATGAATATTGTGCTACATTTATAAATTCAGACAAAACCCCAGTGAGGTGGGAAATGAATATACTCTGGAGATTTTATTTACTCTCTAACTCGTTCTGTTCTGAAAGCAAGTCATTCCTCTTGCTTTAACCTTTACCACCTGCTTCAGTTTAGTACTATTCTTCCTGATGGCTGAAATACACTTCAGCAGGGGCTGCTGTAAGGAAAATAGTGGTGGTAAGCTAAAATACTGAAAGGCAGGGGTGGAAACCCACAGCAAGTTCAAGTCTAGGTCCTTGATAAGTAATAATGCTTTCAAATACAGGCTTTTCCAACTTTGAAGCAACCTGGACCTTCTGAATGTCAAAGTCAGGTTTATGGTATTAATAGGTTATGAAGTCAATTCCTAAACTAAGTTATTTTTTCACTTTCTATAAAACCCCAGCAAAATCTGGGAGAGAAATACTGTTGATTTCTAAATGTACATTTTGAAGACTGAAAATAAAGTTAATGTTACCTTTATTAAGACTATAATTATTTCAATGGGTGACAATAGATTCCATATTTTGCTTACATTGCACACAGTTCAGGAGAACAGCAAGATGTCTAGGATAGGGTTGTGAAATTTGACAAATAAAATAAGAGAATGCTCAGTTAAATTTGAATTTCAGAAAAACAATGAATCAATTTTAAATGGGTGTCCCAAATATGCATGGGACATATTTTACTCTAAATGCTTATCTTAATTTCAAATTTAATGAGGTGTCCTGTATTTTAGATTGGCAATCCTAATGTTTATTGCTGTTAAGTTCCCTCAAGTCAGTTCTGAATCACGGTGACTGTATGTATAAAGGAAGGAAATTTGCCTGGTTTTATACCATCCTCACAATTGTTGCTGTGTTTGAGTACATGGATGCCGCCACTAATAGAGAACCCTAATCTAGGACAGATTAACTACAGGGTGGAGTTAGCACTATAGCATTCGCTTTCTTTTCCCTTGTTTTATTGTCTCCCTATGAGTTGGAATTGACTGGATGGCAGTGGGGTGGGGTTGCCTCTCCTCCAGCTCAGTTTGTTGTGGGTGGTAAGTACTGTCTAGTTAGTTTCTACTCATAACAACCCTGTATTAGCGACCCTATGCAGGGTTTCCGAGCCTGTAAATCTTTACGGGAGCAGAAAGCCTCATCCTGGCAGGGAACAGCAGGTAGTTTCGAACTGCTAACCGTGAGATTAGAAGCCCGATTCGTAACCACTATGCTACCAGAGCTCCCTGTATAGGGTTTCCGTGGAACAGCTGGTGAGCTTGAACTGCTGACCTTGCAGTTCAAACAGCTTTGCAGTCTGGGGCATTAACCCACAGTGCCCCACCAGGACTCCATTGGAAACACTATGGGTCACTGTAAGTCTGAATGAACTTAATGACGATTTAAATTTTTGTCTGGGTTATCTGGGGATGCCTATGATTTATCATTCTACTTTTTAATTTAAAAGCTGTGTTAGAAATATACTTTATAGGCTTTCAAAGTTGTTTTTACTTGCATATACTCTTCAAATTATTTTATTTCTCCCTGTGGATCAGAAATTCTCAGTAGAAAAAAAGCCTTGCCACTTCTACTTTAAAAACACTATTTAATTAAATTATTTTCTAAAAAATCAATTAGACATTTTACATAAATGCTGATAGCAGTCAGCCCTGCTGACAACTATATATGATACTATGATGAATGTTAATTGTCTTGCCATTCAAAATTAAACAGTCCTTTTCTCAAAGGAAGCTCTCATTTCTTACTGTTTCCCATCAGATACTATGGAAAGTACAACTACCAGCAGCGCAACCACAAGCAAAAATGCACCTGATGCGGTGAGAACTTGCATTTTCAAAATCGTTTGAAAGGCTTGCTTAGACAGAGGGTATATATATTTGAACATACGTTTCACATACATTCAAATTTAATTTTCTTAGGGGATTTACAAAGTGAGTGCCAGGACACTCAGTGTTTTAGCTGTCTGTTTTCTTTTTTTCTCTCCTGTTTTAGAGAAATCTGGGACCCAAGACCAGCACACAGCAGAGAGCTAAAGGAAGTCAGTGTGATGATGTAGGAGGGAGGCTCTTTCTTCTGAGGTCGCTGCCAGAAGAAACTCTGAAGCATTAGGAAGCTTTTGTACCATTTGCTTTAGACAGGTTTAACAATTAGACATGGTCATTTGTGTTGATTAAAATCTCTCAAACCTTTGTTTCTATGCTACCCTTCCTCTCTCCTCATGTAATTTGGGTAGAAATATTAGATGCGTGACTTTAAGCTTGTCAGAAACCTACTCATTTAGGGATTGTAAACAGATTCTGATTATTTTGATTGCTTTTGAATTTGAAATAACTGATGCTGTTAAAAGGAGCATAAAGTATTGAATTCTGAGCAGATTGATCAATAGGAAATGAGCAACAGTAGGTACAAAAAAACAGAAAATTAAATGCTAGAGTCCCTGGATAGTACAAATGGTTTGCATTTAGCTAAAGATTGGTGGCTTGTACCCACTCAGTGGTACTCTGGAATAAAGGCCTGGCAATCAGCAAAGATCCAAGATTATAAAAAGTGAAGATTATAGCCAGGAAAACCCTAAGGAATAGTTCTATTTTGTTACACATGGGGTCACTCTGAGTTGAAATAGACTCAGTGGCAATGGATTTAGTTAGTCCTTTTACTCTCTCAACAACCACATCCAACTGCCTTGTTTACTCTGCTTCCATGTTATCTGTTCTTTGAATATCTTATGACTTCTGCAATACCACTGTTTGGAGTCAGGCCCATTCCCCAGCCCAAATATCTTTATTCAAAGTCTCTTAATTGGTTTCCCTCACCGCAGTCCCTCTAATCCATCCTTCACATTACTACTGAAACTATGCTTTCTAAAATAAAAATGAGATCATGTCAAGTCACTGGTTTCCCATTGGCTTCAATAAAAACTTCTGTTTACATCCCAGTCTCACCTTTCATTATATTCTCTACTCCCCATACATCCTACATTGAGCTCTACAGAAATAGTTAGGTTCCACTAATAAACCATGAGTTATATAATTTCCATGCCTTTGCACAAAGCTGTTCCACTGCAGAAAGACTCTTCTCTCCTTACCTACCTATTTGTCCTAAGGATTAAGTTTGGTGCCCTTCTTCTAGCTCAGTGGTTCTCAGTCTAAGTTGTGTGTTAGATCCCCTTGGGAGTTTTAAAATACCCTGGGACCCTTCTGGATTATTTAAAACATGATAGGGCAACAGCATTAAACAAACAAACAAACAAACAAACCATTCCCCAGGAAATTCTAATGTACATCTAGGTTTGAAAAGCACTGGTCTATATTTACTTAGTCTACCAGTTGCTTGAGGACTAAGGTGCGCCTGACCCAAGCCATGGAATTTTCAATAACCTCATATGGATGCAAAAGCTGGACAAGTGAATAAGGAAGATTGTAGAAGAATTGATGCCTTTGAGTTGTGGTGTTGGAGGAGAATACTGAAAGTGCCATGGACTTCCAAAAGAACCAATAGATCTGTTTTGGAAGAAGTGCAGCCAGAGTGCTCCTTGGAGGCCAAGATGGCTAAGCTTCATTTCTCATACTTTGGACATATTGTCAGGAGGGAACAGTCGCTGGAGAAGGATGTCATGCTGGGTAAGGTGGAGGGTCAGAGAAAAAGAGAAAGACCCCCAACGAGATGGATTGGCCAGGTGGCATCATTGATGGCGTCAAGTGTGGCAGCGGTAGTGAGGTTGGCCCAGGATCGGACATTATTTCGTTCTGTTGTGCATGGGGTCGCTATGACTCGATGGCACCTGACAACAACAACAACCAGTTGCCTTCCACCACTCGCTGTCAGTTTGTCATACTGTGATGATTTGCATGTTGCTGTGATGATGGAAACATACCACCTGTATTTTAAATACTAGCAGGGTCACCCATAGTGGACAGGTTTCCAGGAGAGCTTCCAGTCTAGAAAGAAGGAGAGGCAGACAGCTTCAGAATAGTTAGCCACTGAAAACATTACGAATAGCATTGCAACATTTTCAGATATAGTGCCAGAAGATGAAAGCATTATGGAGAGCAGCAGAACATTGTCAAATATAATGCGGAAAAATAAGCCTCTTGTTTGGTGAGCACTCAAAATAAGACTGGGAAGAGTTATCTCCTCAGGCATGAATTGACTGGCTTACAAGGTTTCAAGAGGGAGTTTAGTTTAAGAATGTGTGGGGAAAGAAAGAGTCCCCACTAAATAGTTTTCATCTTGTCTAGATAGGTCTGGTTAAAAGAGATGGGGATAAGATTCTTATGATTCAATAGTGAGTAATAGTTATCATGACTAATTGTGACCGCCATAATTGTAAAGGTAGACGTTTTGTAACAAAAATGGGGGAGTAGTTAATTTTACAGTCCAGAAACAAAAGACCCTAGGACCATCAAGGGAGATGAGCACAAGTGGAATGAGGGACCTTATACAGAGAAGCAGCCACACCAGAGATGGAGGCAGAGATGAGGACATGGCGAGATAGCAGCTGAGGACTCTTGATTCATGTGAAGAGAGAGACTAAGAGCTGGAGGCCACGAGGCAGATTTGTAGAAGGTGTCCTTTGGTGGTGTAAATTATTATATATGCCTGAGGGTTTAAAAAAAAAAAAAGGTAGAGCGAAAGTGAATAAAGAGAAATACTGTTATCTGATGGTACATGGAGGGGATTATATTCATTGTAATGAAACAAGGTGTATGATTTGTTGAATGTAAAACTGATGAGCTGCCCTATAAACTTTCACTCAATTCACAATAAAAACCTAAAAATAAATAAATAAATAAAAAGAGAGTTATCCTCTCAAAGTAGTGTTGACCATAATGACGTGAATGAAGCAAAGCTTTTGGGACTTTCATCTGCTAATGGGGCATAACTAAAAATGAGAAGAAATAACTACTAATATAAATCAATAATTTGATCGTGAAGGGACTTCCAGTAAGATGGTGGACTAAGCAGGCACACTATGTGGACTCTCTACAACAAAGATACAAGAGACCAAATAAAACAGACAAAAATGAAAATCCTGGAACTTGAACCTCAGAAGAAAGTTTAGAGAAGTGGACTGAGCACTTGCCGGATGGTGAAGCTGCTCATGGATGGCAAGTGAGGGAGGCTGAGTGATGAAGATGTGGCGTGACCATCTGGAACCTTTGTGAGTAGCTTTGGCAAAAGAAGGTGGCCTAGCAGACCAGTGTCACACAGGTGACTGGAAAGGTGTGATTCATTTTTGCCCCCATTGTCCCCTGGTGACCACAAATGTGGCTAGCTCCCAACCCTCATCTACCCCAGTGCAGACTCCACTCTACGGGAGTAATACATAACTTAGACAGGACTGGAAAGGTTTATAAGAAATCACATAATTTTGGCATTAAAAGGAACTTTAAATAAGTATAAAGTTCTTTCAGTTTTCAGAGGAGGAACTATAGTTTAAAAGGTTCCTGGTTACCAGAGCCTTGATGTTATTACTACTAGTTCATATTTCCAGTCTAAGCTCTCATCTTTAGCTCTCTTGGCTAAAAAACAGCAGTTTCTGTAGTCCTGAGAGGATCAGTTTCACTCTCTACCAACTGAGGTACCTGAGTATGTAATCCCCATTTTGTTTCAAGAAAGCCTCCTCTGTATGTTAGTCCCCCATATGCTTTGACAATTGTAAGAGATTTTCCAAATCAATTGGATTTATCAAAACATTTAGGACAAAAGGCAGGAATTTGGATAAGCAATGAATTGCTAACTGAAAGATTGGCAGTTCAAACCCACCGGATGCTTCTTGGAAACCCTACAGAGTGGTTATGAGTCAGAACTTAACAAACAAACCACTGTGTACTTTAAACAAGTAATTTAACCTCAGTGCCTTAGTTCCCAATTTTAAATTGGATTAAAAGAGCACCACTTGAATGTTTTAAGATTAATGATGTTAATTTTTATCACTACAGTGGGTTTAGATGAACATCTGACCTTTTGAACGTTTCCACCTACTTTTTGTTAAATAACTAAGCCATAAAATTAAAGAGTTGACTTGTTAGCAGAGATTTATAACTTCTTAATGAATCATTTACCATCCCCAAAGTATTAAAATTGTAAGTTCATTTTTAATGCAAGCTTATCTCCTTTCCCTCAAATGCACCAAACCTTTGAACTTCTTCAAAACACCAAACTGAAGCACTATAGCCACCAGCCACTTTATCTTTGAAATTCCACATTGCATTTTGACGTTCACCCATACACTGGGTACAGTCATCACTTAGGTTGGCTGTCTGTTCATGGGGGTCTGTATTTTGGTGAACCCAGGATACGGATCTTTTTGCTGGTACAAACAAATGTATTTGGTTAATCTAGTCTTCAGAAAGTCATTCAAGCCACACAAATTCTAAAAAGGTTCACTGATTGACCAAATGTTATTTTAAATCACATTGAGGGTAGTATCTTCCAATTAGTTGGAATATGTCTCCATTTAGGGCATTCCTGGTAGCGTAGTGGTTACAAATCAGGCTGTTAACCACAAGGTCAGTAGTTTGAAACTACCTGCTGTTCCAGGGGATAAAGAGGCTTTCTGCTTCCGTAAAGATTTACAGTCTTGGAAACCCTGTAGAGGGCCACTATGAGTCAGAACCAACTCCACGACACATAACCACCATATTAGAATTAAGTTATTAGGGAAACTGAATTAGTAATGAGAAAGTATCGGCAGAATTGGAAAAAAAACAAAAACTTTTTAATTTACTCATTTGTTGTTGTTGTTAAGCACTGTCGAGTCAGTTCTGACTCATAGTGACCCTATATAGGTTTTCCAAGGAGCAGCTGGTGAGCATGCACTGCTGACCCTGTGGTTCAAACCAACATTACAGTCCAGCACATTAGCCTATAGCACCACTAGCTGCTCCTCGGAAACCCTATACAAGGTCACACCTAACAACAACAACCACACCAGTACTCCTTATTTACTCATGGTGGTGGTGGTGATGGAGTCGATTCCAACTCACAGGGACCGGACCCTGCATAGGGTTTCCAAGGAGCACCTGGTAAGCTTGAACCACTGACCTTGTGGTTCAAATTGTCATTGCAGTCCAGTGTATTAACCCACAGTGCCACACCAGGACTCT